ATTCAAAAACGTACATAAATGCATAATGTATGTACGCATGTATGTATCAAAACGAGCACTAAGCCACCCGGTAGTACAAGACGAAACAATGGCCAAGAACATTCAACTGCAATTCATTACAGAACCCAGGCTGGAATGCACCAGGCGAGCCGCTGCGATCATGCGTTTTTGCACCAAACTTGAAGTAATTAGGTTTACTGCACGAACGGTTGTTTCTTCACGCCTACCTTGTGCGCTCAATACTGTAAATCATCGTAAATTTTGCATAAAAGGAAATCAATTTCCGTTCAGTGGTCGTTTTTTTTTTTTTTGAAAATGACCCAGCTGTTCAACAAACAATTTTCCCGCCAAAAATTTAAATGCTCGTACACAAGAAACACTGGTATATGGCGACTGAATTTGAAACCTTTAAGTTGTATTTGGACGGGGAAATTCCCCTATAATCTCAGCTTTCCAGCTTTTTTGGTTCCCGAGTTAGCAATTATTCCGACAAAATTTTCATAGGGCGGCACTTGACCCGGGGGCGTACCTGGGAGCTGGGTTTGGAATCTTTAAATTGTATGTAGGCTGCGAACATCCCTTTAAAATTTCAGCCTTCCAGCTTTCCTAGTTCCCAAGTTAGCCGTTTTCCCGTCAAAAAATTTCACAAGGCTGTACGTGAGAACCACCTACCATTGGGAGCTGAATTTCATAGGTTTATGTTATACGTTTGCTGGAAACATTCCTTGAAAATTTCAGCCTCTTAGCTTTCCTGGTTCCCGAGCTAGCGATTTTCGCGCCAGGATCCCTAATGGGACTGTAAGCGAAAACCACCCAATCTAAGGGATGAATTTGAAATTTTTAAGTTACGTGTAGACGGTGAACATAACCTCAGAATTTCATCTTTCTGTCTTTTCTCGTTCCCGAGTTATCAGTTTTCCCGCTATCAGTTTTCCAGCAAAAATTTCACCCTCTCGTACGCGGGGTTCAGACTTGCGTGAGGGTTGGTACGGCGGTTCTGGGGTGGCACTTGGCCGGGGGAACCCACTAGAAAAAATCTTGGTGCTAGAACTTGCTTGGTTGTCGAACTGAAATACTCGGACAGACGAACACACACACAGACACAAACAGAGCCGCGGCAATATGAGTTTTTGCAGTACAGGCAAAAACGCATAAAAAGCACTCTGGAAGGGTAGCGTATATGAAAGGATGGTGGGGCTCCTTAGAACTATTGTTAGGAGCTATTTAAATATCGAAGAGGTAGCAACACTTCTGCCGGAAGTGGAGCTATTTTGAATACAAGGCCTTTAACTTACTTAAGTGAGAATCCATTGGTTGTTTTACGACCCAGTGGCTTTTTTGTCCTGGGGATGGACGCCAGTGTAGTACTATTACAAGAAAATCAGTTAAATGGTCACTCAAAACAGATCGAGTCAAGGAAAAATCTACTTCGAGCCTGGAACAGTTCATTTCAATACCAAGACAAGTTCTGGGCTTCTTGGCGTAAAGAAGCCCGTACCATCTTTTCAGTCTAAGAGAAGTTATAAGTTCAATCATCCACGACTACGAACACTACAAGCTATCACACTCATGGTTGAAGAAATCGCTTGTAACAAAAATTATAAAAAAAATTCTTCACGACGATATTAGCAATTAGGGAAACTAATCAAAGTCGAAGCTGGTACGGGCAATGTTGCAAGGTCTGCAGTTATCAAAACGACTACAGGTCAAATCAAGCACTCTGTCAATCACCTGTGTCCTCATGAAATAACCATTCATAAATAAGGCAGCAAGGTGAAAGCCAGTAGCAGCATGTTGCAGTGCAAACCAACGCCAGTCGATGCAAACTTTTCTTGATGTTCGTCCTCACTGAAATGGTAACGGTTCAAACTCTCCAGAGCAAATTCAACAAAAATATGTTTGCGACCCGAGAAGGATAATAATCGACTGTTTATGCAGTAGCTACAACACTGACGAATTTAGGTTTGCACTTCGTCTGCGTATTCAGATTCAGAAGTTCCTTACACAAATCTTCATGGAGAAATCAGAGAACACTAACAATGCAGAGCAAAGAAGATTGAGACTAAAATTAAAGAGACTAAGATCGTAACAAGAATTAATAAAAGAAAGTGTGTGGTTAGACAAATCAAGCTGAGTAGATGCTACAATTGTTCAGTGGCTGCTCATCCAACTTACGTATGCGAAACAACACGATGATCAGTGATAGTTCATACCAGGACCCGACCAAATGCCAACAATCAAGTATGTGAAGTGAGAGGTGTTGGTATGCAAACACATCTTGTGTTCGATATTCGCGACCTAATATATAGTCGATTGTGAAGAGAGGAGCCATCAAATATCAAGCTGTGAAATTCGATCTATCAAGTTTCGCGTCATGGTTCATGCCTAATCAGAGAGCCGTCGTGATTGTGATCACATTATTATGCGTTTTGCCTATATGCAAATTACAACCCAGGCTGGGACGCATCACGCGAGCCGGTGCGATCATGTTTTTTTGCATCAAACTTCGAAGTGCCGTCTCTCCTAGAGGGGGAATGGGGAAGAAAGGAGGGGATTCCACATAAAGCCACCATTCAGCTGAAGGCGGTGTTTTGAGAAAGAGTAAACGTCTAAGTGCACAAACCCTCTGTCGGAGACATAGGTGGATCCAAGGGGCGGCTGTGGGTCTTCCACTCTCTCCTCCCACCCGGGCGCACAGGCACCAGTGCTGCAAAAGTTCGGGTCTAAAACTAAAACTAAAGTCTGAGGCAACTGTAAGTAACAGTGTGTTACGACTATATTCCTAGTTTTCGCATAGTTCCAGTGTGGGAGGGATCTTTAAGCAGGAAAGAAATGCGGATTCTCGCTGAGCTGTATGGATTACGGCTGCAATCAAGCACCGACATTCGGATTCGTCGGTAATACACACAGCAACCATTTGAATTGCCGCCGTTCGATGTTCAGTTGCACAGCGACCCAGTCGCAGTCTTATGTTTTTTCGTGGTGTTGTGCGTGCCGTCAATTCCACGTGTCTTGTTTGCCTGTTTTGCTTGTTATGTTGGTGAGGAAGGGGAGTGCGTGCATCTCTTTTGTGTTTATTTCTAGGAGCATGACTGAATTTGGGGTTGCGTGGGAGATATGCCATATAGAAGGTTCACGTTACGATTGCGGTTCAGTTTCGAGCAGCGAACGAATTTTTGAAAATATGCAAATTTTCAGATCAAAAATTGAAAGTATTGCTTGAGCGGTCGTTTTCCAAAAAATCCGTGTTCACTCGTATATACAATTGGCGGTTCAGGCCCGAGTTGCTAACGATTTTTGGGTTCAGGAGCTGCTTGAGGCTGCGGTTGGGAGCTAGAGGGCTGAGTTCCAAAATTTTTATCTCGCACGTGCATAGAGAATATCCCTGCAAAGTTTCAGCCTTCTACATTGCCTGGTTCGCGAAACCGTTTCCCGCCAACACATTCCTTTGGGTGTCCCGTGCGGGGTTTAGGCGCGTATGGGGGAACATCTTAAAACAGGAGGATGACACACAGGATACGAACATATATCCAAAGTTTCAGCCTCCCAGCTTTCCTGGTTGCCGAGTTGAAAGTGGGTGACACGTTTTCCGAACACGTTTTCCGAACACACACACACACATACAGACAGCCTCTCGACAATACGCGTTTTTGCTGGCGAAAAACGCTAATATAACGCTGCACAGCAAAAACGCATAAAAACACATATTGCGACGACCCTGTCTGTGTGTATGTGTATGGTTGTGTGTGTGTGTGTTCGTCTGTCCGGGTATTTCAGCTCGACAGCCAAGCAAGTTCCAGCACCAAGATTTCGCTAGCAGGTTCCCCGGCCATGTGTCATCCCAGAACTGCGACTCCAACCCTCACGCAAGTCCGGATCCCGCATACGAGAGGGTGAAAGTTTTGGCGAAAAAATTGATAACTCGGGAACGAGAAAAGGTAGAAAGCTGAATTTTTGAGGTTATATTCCCCATCCATATTTAACTCAAAGATTTCAAATTCAACCCCCAGGTGTGCATGGTTCCCGCGTGTAACCCCGTGAAATTTTTTGGCCGGAAAATGGCCAACTTGGGAATCAGGAAAGCTGGGAGGCTAAAATTTTCAAGAAATGTTCCTAGCATAAGTACAACATAAAGCTATCAAATTCAGTCCCCAGTCGTATGCGGTTCTCACGAACGGCTCCGCAAAATTTTTTGGCGGGAAAATGGCTAATTCGGGAACCAGAAAAACTGGAAAGCTGAGATTTTAGGAGAACATTCCCCGTCCAAATACAACTTAAAGGTTTCAAATTCAGCCTCTACTTACGCGTGGTTTTCGTGTACGGACCTTAAGATTTTGGCGGGAGAATTACTCATTGAGCAGCCGAGTCATTTTCGAATAAAAACGACCGCTAAACAGAAATTATTTATTTCCTTATGCAAAATTTACTGTGGTTTACGGTATTGAGCGCACAAGGAGGTGTGAAGAAAAAACCGTTCATGCAGTTAACCTAATTACTTCAAGTTTGGTGCAAAAACGTAGGATCGCGCCTGCTCGCCTGGTACGTTCCAGCCTGGGTTTTAGCCTTCGCCTTCGCGGTTCGCACAGATTGTTACTGTTTAAGAATGTCAGTGTATGTAAGTAACAAATCAAACTTGGATTGGTAATAACTTTCCAGACTACCACACTTTTTCTTTCGTTCTCTGGAATGTCATGAAAGCGAGTCAAGCGCTTTCTTGATCATTTGCGCACGACCCTCAGTGCCATTCAACACGAAAACATCAGATTACAGGTAGCATGCCCTAACTTGTACCTGGTAGCGGGTCGCATCTACACATTCTAGATAGGCTAGTTACCTGTACAGGATGTTGCTCGTTACCTGTACAGGGCGCCGCTCGCTACTTGTATAGACCGCCCACCCTCTCGCGCTGTAGCGCTTCCGCTCCGCCCTTCAGCTGTCGCTAG